GCCCTCCCTGAGGACCGTGGTGGCGGCCGTTTTCTCCTGATCCGTGTCTTTGAATTTCTTTCTGTTTGTTCTGCTTCCATTCTTTTTGCTGGGGTCACTCCTCAGCCATCTGGGGTCACTCCTCAGCCATCTGGGGTCGCTGGTTTTCTGCTTGTATTTAGACTGGGACACTCACGCGCTGGTGGGAATGTGTTGTGTGGGACAAAAGGACTTCAGGAGGTGGAGTTTGGGTGAGGATGTTGTGGGGGGATGAGGGGACTTCAGGAGGTGGAGGCAGGGTGAGCCTCCCCAGATGTGAAACCCTCTCTAGGCTTGGTCTCCCCGTTCTGTGCCTGGGGGTGCACGGTGGATCCTCATGCTGATGGGATGAGGGAGTAGGTGGATGGGGTGCCTGTCTGTGTGCCCCACCTCACTGACAGCCCTCCTTCCTCACCTGGACAGGGAGCTGCAGAGGCCCAAGGGACTGCCCTGGTCACACAGCAGGGCTGGGCTGCCCTCTGGGCAACATCTACAGAGACCTCATGGAGCCTTCCCTGAGCCTGTGGCTGGGGTCACGGCACCATCCTGGAGCCTTCCCTGGACCCGTGGCTGGGGTCATGGAGCCATCTTGGAGCCTTCCTGGACCCATGGCTGGGGTCATGGTGTCATCTTGGAGCCTTCCCTGACCCGTGGCTGGGGTCATGGTGTCATCTTGGAGCCTTCCCCAGACCCCATGATTGGGGTCACTTGTTTTCTCCTCTCTCTTCTTGGTTATCATGTTTCCACTGAGCACCTGCCACATTCAGATGGCGAGGGTGGCCACACCTCATCCGCCTCCCACAGCTCCAGTGGGGAAGGAGGTGAGGCTTGAGCTGGGAGGGTGCAGCAGTCGGTTCTGTGCAGAGGGAAGCCAGGGCTCTGGACCCCAGAAACTCAGCATGACTTGGGGCATCTGGGAGGGCATCCTGGAGGTGGTGGGGCTGACGATGGTGATGAAGAGCCAGCAGGCGGAGGGAGGAGCCCTTGCCTAGGCCCGCAGGGAGTAAGCTGCCTTCCCAAACCGTAACCGAGGCACTGGTTCCCGCTGGGGGCAGGAGGCACAGCAGACAGGGGAGGGGCTCAGCCTCTTGAGGAGGCGAGCTTGTGTCCCTGGGCCTCATCGCCAGCCCTGCCCACACAATGAGTTAATTAAACACGAGCACACCGGCCCCTCCTGGCCCTGTTGCTGAGATGGTGTCAGCTGTGATCCCATGATGCAGGGAGGTCTCCCAGGTTGGCATCCTGGCATCCCCCAGCCCCCTTTCCCCTTTGACAATGAGGCAGGGCAGAACTGTGCCCCAAGCACAGGCTTGATGTGGATGAGGCCAGGCTTCCCCAGCATGAAGTGTGGGGGCTCCTGGTGGGCTCCTCAGCCTTGACTGTCACCCTTCTAGAAAGCCCTGCTTGGGTCCTAGGCCCTCCCATCCGCACCAGGAAAGCTGCGCTGGCTCTTCTTGCCTCAGGGGCCTGTCCTGCCTGTCCCCCAGACACGGTGATACTTAACAGGAAAACTCATCTTGCCTGGTTAAGGAAGGTCCCTCTGCACTCTACTTAGGTCACGGATGTGGTCAAAACATTTTCATCAGGGGGCCAGAAAGGTCAGCCCTATGAGTGGGCGCTGTGTGCATGGCCAGCTGTCCCCTCCCCCAGCTTGGGGAGGGTGGCTTCTCCTTTGCAGGGCGGCTGCCTGGGTGCCTGCTGGAGTGAGGAGGGCCCAGGGGGCTGCAGTGAGCCCCAGGTCAAGGTTGGCCACAGCAGGAGCTTAGTCCCTCCTACCGGGCAGCTCCTCCCTTCCAGGGATGTTGCTGGGCTGCAGCAGCTGGCGTGGAGGCTGGGGTCAGGGAGGGGAGCTGGACAAGTCTGGGGCTGCAGAGCCCTCATCAAAGGCCTGACTCTGCCTCCGTGACCAGAGATGGAGCGGTGGCTTGGCGATGGGTAGAGAGGAGGCTGTGGAGGGGCCAGGCTTGGCAGCAGCTGACCGGAGCTGAAGAGGGTCCCCGGGGGTCCTTTCCCTTCCCTTCTTCCCCAGATGCTCCCTCGGGCTCCTCTGGGGCACATCCTTTGCTACACCTGAGTCCGCCCCTTTGGCCTGGCCGTTCCTGTGGTTCCAGCTTCCTTGCCTCCCTGCAGCCTCCCTCCCCTACTCTGTTGAACCCAGCGTGTTGGGGAATGGAGGGTAGACACAGAGAGATGTAGCACGGGGAGACAGGCTTGACCTGGGACCATGTAAGGAGGCTCTCGGTTGGCCAACTTTAGGGCCATAGGAAGTGGCCCAGGGCCCAGTCTGGGCAGGGCACAGGGGCACAACACCCAACTGAAGAGGAGTGTGAGGCTAGGCTGGGCCTGTCAGCTGCCTGGGGGCTGTAGCTGGGTGTGTAGATGGAGGCCCAGGGCAGTGCTTCCAGCGAAGGCTACCAAGTTCTTCCCATGCACCAGCTCCTCCAGCTGGCACCCCAGATCAGAGGCTGGGAACTGCAGCTGCCGAGAGGCCCAGCACTGTGCTCAAGGCCACGGTCAGGCAGTGATGTGAGGACGGGCCTGCAAGCAGAACTGCTTGACCTCAGCTCCTGTTTCCTCTCCATGCCCTTTGCTCCCCTCGGGTACCCAGGAGACCCTCACACCGTGGTTCGTCAGGCTCCCTCTCAGCGTGGGTGACCCAAGTGTGGGAGTAGGGCTGGCACGGGAGAATTCAGCTTGCACTCTTATGGCCCATACAGGGCACAGGTAGCTCCAAGTGCATGGGCCTTATGGGGCAGGGTGTGGAGTCAGCAGCAGGCTCTGTTGTTGGGTGCCCAGCTCCAACCCTGGCTCTGCAGATCTCAGGCTGGTGGCTTTGGGCAGGCCACATTACCTCTCTGAGCCATCTCCTCTTCTGCAGACCGGGGGTGTTGGTGGGACCACCTCTGTGCTGTGGTGGGGGATGATGCTCAGGAAAGGGCAGCTGTATTGCTGACTGGGATGATGCTGGTGAGGGGACCATGGACCCTACAGACACTGGCCACCTACAAACCCCAGTACCCCAAGCCATGGGCACTCTCATGGGTCCTGAAGTTGTCCTTAATTCAGAGCACCTTGTCCTGTGCACTGATGCAGAGCCCTGTCCCTGCCAGGAGGGTTGACTGCCCTCCCCACCCCCACCGGTAAGCTGAGGGGTTTGTCTGATTCACTGTTGGACTCCTGTCCCCTTCCTTCCACTCCCTCCACCCCTCATCACCCTGCCCACATCCTAGGATGTCCAGGCAGCAGCATGACTTTGTGACAACAGCTACAAGGAGAGAGACCTGAACCTCAGATCTGCCACACACTGTGAAGCCTGGGCAGGTCTCTACCTTTTTGAGCTTCAGTGTCCTGGCCAAGAACATAGGTAGCAACATGTTTCCCAAGGCTGGGAAGCGGTGCTGTTTCAGCAATTGCTCATTTTCAGGTCAGTATGTGGGTCCCTCTTAAGGTGGAATGACAGTTGCACCTTAATTGAGGCAGTTGAGAGAGCTGAGCTGGGGGCTGGTCATCTTGATGGATAGCTGAATAGAAGGATGGGTGGATAGATGGGTGGGTAGATGAATGGGTGTATGTTTGGATGGATGGATGGATGGAGAGGTGGGTAGGTGGATGGATGGATGGATGGATGGATGGATGGATGGATGGATGGATGGATGGATGGATAGATGAATTGATGGGTAGATGGGTAGATGGATAGGTGGGTAGATAGATGGATGGATGGATAGATGAATTGATGGGTAGATGAGTGGATGGATGGGTGGGTAGATGGATGGATGGATGGATGAGTGGATAGATGCATTAATGGATTTTCATCCCAACATTTAACTGATGACCCAGAGGGGTAACCGGGGATACTAGTCCTTGGCTTGTCCTCTATACTTCACTCCTCTTGCCTATCCAGTCAATCCTAGGTTATGAGGATTCCACCTTCTGGTTTTGACTCTGTTCCGTCTTACCTTCCCTTCTCTGCCCTCCTCTAGGCCCCTGCCCATCTTTCACGGACACGCCAGTCTTCCTCCTGTCTGGCATCCTTGTCTCAGATCTCTTTTCTACCTAACCTCTTGTCTGGCTCCCTGGAGTGCCCTCTCCAACAACACACTGCTAAATATGTCACTCTTCTGCTCTAAATTCCTGTCTTCCCTGCTATCTAGGGGTGGTGTCTAAACTCCTTCACAATTTGCAGGACTGTCTCATCCCAACCTGTCTCCCTTCCCATTCCCTGTCCCCTGCTCCCTGATTTGGATACTTGGTACTTACCATTTTATTTAAGCTCCAAGTTTTCTCTGGGTTCTCCCTTAATCCCTTGCCTTTCAGTCCCCGGTCTGCCTAGGGGTTTCCCACCCCACATTCAGGACCTGAATGAAGCATATCCTTCTTCAGGAAGCCCCCCAATTCCTCTTTAATCAGTCCCCTAGCACAGATCAATGTCTTTCTCCTCCATGAGACCTTTGATGGTGGGTCCAGAATTTGTTAAATCAGTAATAGTCACAAGAATATACAAGTAAGACTATCTGGTGAGGACTATGTGTCTGGCATTCGCCAGGCCCCAGGCTATGTAGTTTCCAGGCATCACCTTAATTTTAAGGCTTTCAAATGTCTCCATTAAGTCCATGGCATCATCCTATCCTTACAAAATAATTTAAGGTACCAAGAAGGGAAACAGCTGAGATCCCTCAGCTCAAGATGGACAAAGCATGAATCACACCCATGCCTGGCTGACTCTGGAGCTTAAGCTTAAGCTGAGTCTCCTGCCTCCCTCCCTTTGAACCTGGTTCCAGAGCCAGCCCAGAGCAGTCCTTCAACAAACAGGCATGCCAGCTCAGGGCAGAGCCCCTTGCAAGACACAGGTTCTGTCTGGACCCTGCCCCAGGGTGGGCTCAGCCCCTGCATGCCACAGCCCAAAGTATGCACAAGCCAAATGCCCCCTGAGGATGGGAGGTTGGAGGACCAGGACATGGAAACAACCTCTCTCTCTCTCCCAGTTCCAGAGACACAAGATCAAGTGCTACTTCCTATCAGCTGGAGTCACTGCCCTGCTTGTCATCATCATCGTCATCGTCACCTCTGTTCGAAAGTGATGCCACCCGTGGTGAGTGCCCTACCTGCACCTACACCATCCATTCATCTGCACATCCACTATCCATTCATTCACCTATCCACCATCCATCTAACCATCCACCTCCATCCATCTATCCATCTACCCATTTATCCACCCATCTACCATCCCTCTGCCCATCCATCCACCCATCCACCATCCATCCATCTATCCATCTGCCATCCATCCATCCATCCACCCACCCACCATCCATCCTTTCATCTATCCACCATCCATCCATCAATCCACCCACCGTCCATCCTTCTATCCACCCAACCACCATCTGTCCATCCATTCATCCACCTTCCATTCATCCATCCACCATCCACCCATCTCTCCACCCACCCACCATCCATTCTTTCATCCATCCACCATCCATCCATCAATCCACCCACCGTCCATCCTTCTATCCACCCAACCACCATCTGTCTATCCATCCATCCACCCTCCATTCATCCATCCACCATCCACCCATCTCTCCACCCACCCACTATCCATCCATCTATCCATCCACCATCCATTTATCCATCCACCATTTACCCATCTATCCACTCATGCACCCATCTATCCATCAACTTATCCACCCATCTATCCACCCATCCACCACCTGTCCATCCATCTACCTTCCATTCATCCACCCACCATCCACCCATCTATCTACCCACCCACTATCCATCCATCTATCCATCCACCATCCATTTATCCATCCATCCATCCACCATTTACTCATCTATCCACTCATCCACCCATCCATCCATCAACCCATCCACTCCTCTATCCACCCATCTACCATCTGTTCATCCATCCACCCATCCACTTGTACACCATCTGTTTGTCCATCTATCCACCCATCCACCATTCATCCTTCTACCCATCCATTCATCTATCACCTATCCACCCATCATCCATCTTTCTGTCCTTCCTTGCTTGCATCCATTCATTCTTCCTTCCTTCATCATCCTCTATGTGTTTGTTGAGCACCTCCTGTGTGTTAGGCACGGGCTGGGCTCTAGGTTCCCAGTGGTGCACATGCCAGAGGGATGCCCTGTGTTCTTGCAACTCAGAGCCACTGGGGCAAGGCCACCCTGAAGCCTCCCTTTTCCTAGGCACTGACCTCCAGAAGTTTATGACTGGCAATTCCTCTGGGGCTAGCAGTCAGTGCACAGAGCATGCTGGACCATGTGGTGAGTGTGCCTTGAGAGCCCAGAAGAGGGGAATGAGGCACCAGTGAGGAGAGCTCACCAGGAAGCTTCACCAGCTCCTGTAGGCAGGGAGGAGTGGGTACTGAGACACATGGCTGGCACTGGAGCATGGCTGTCCCCAGGACACAGGGCCCTGGGCTGCAGCTGGTCAGGGCTGGGACAGAACATGGGAAGGCCTTTAGTGTCAGTGGAGCCTTTGAAGTATGTGAAGCATGTATATCCATTACTGATACTGCATGCCAAATTAGCTAAAAGCTTAGTGGCTGAAACCAAATCAATGTTTGTTATCTCACAGTTTCTGTGAGTCGAGATTTGGAAGTGGCTTAGTTGGGTGGCTCTGGCTCCAGGTCTCTTGTGAGGCTGCAGGTAGATGTTGGCCAGGGCTGCATCCTCATCTGAAGACTCAGATGGGGTTGAAGGATCCATTCAAAGCTGGATCTGCATGTGGTTGACACTGGTGCTGGCTGCTGGTGGGCTGGAGGCTCAGTTGGTCTCCATAAACTCTGGGAAGGCTGGCAAGGGAGCAGGGTGGATGCCACCCTTGCTCAGTTCTGCAGTACTCAGCTGCTCACTCAAGGCTGCCCTACTCGAGTCTTACTGAGCACTGGAGACTCCCATGGTTGGTCTACTGTGTGCCAGGCCATGCGTTGTACATCCATTATCTAAATCCTGTAGCCTCCTGAGGAGTGCGGAAGCAGAGTCCAGGCATCGGGGCCAGCATGGCCAGGACAGCATGGACTCAGTAGGTCTTGGATTTGTGTGAAGACACACTGTGAACCTTCCAGATATTGTGTCGCATCCCTGGGGTCTCCCCAGTCAGCTCATCCCCTCACAGCAGGGCTTCTGTGTGTTCACATTAGGCAGGGCACGTAAAGACCCCAAGTGGCCTTGCCTCATTTGGGTCAGCTGAGGTTTTGCTACTAAAATCCTGGATGGCAAAGAGAACTCCTGGTGTCCAGAGCTGCTGGTGTTGGGGCTGTGGGCAGAATGGGGGGCCTGGCTGTCACTGGGGTTATGGGCAGAAATGGGGGCCTGGCTGTCATTGTGGTTGTGGGTGTAGTGTGGGTCCTGGCTGTCACTGTTGTGTGGGTGCAGTGGAGGTCCTGGCTGTCACTGGGGCTATGGGCAAGATGGGGGTCCTGGCTGTCACTGGAGTTGTGGGCAGGAAAGGGGTCCTAGCTGTCACTGGGGTGTGGGTGCATTGGGGGACCTGGCTGTCACTGGGGTGTGGGTGCAGTGGGGGACCTG